ACTACATTTTTTTAAAGTGGTACTGGGGATGAACCCATGGCCTTGTACACAGCAAGCTACACCCTTATAGTAATATAAGGTGTTCCCCAAAAGCTTCTGTTAATGCAGAAACATCCAGAGGTGAAATGATTAGATATGAGATATGTAACTTAGAGTGTCCATCTTAGTTTGAATGGACTGATTAGGTGTAACTGTAGGCAAGTGGGATGTGGCTGGAGGAGCAAGGTTACTGAGAGTGTGTCCTGGAAGGGTCCATTTTTCCTCCTTCCTTCTCTCTCTCTTGTTTCCTGGCCTTGCGATGAGCTGAGCAGCTTTCCTCCACTGGATCCTTCTCCTAGGATATACTGCCTCACCTTGGGCCCTGAGTGATGGAGTCAGCCATCTAGGGACTGAGACTTCTGAATCTGTGAGCCCCAAAATAAACTTCCTCCTCTAAGCTGTTCTTGTTGGGTATTTTGGTCACAGTAATGCAAAGCCTCACTAAACAGTCCCCAGCCCCCAATACTACTTTTTAAACTTGCATACGAAAAAACATTAGGAGCTGGTGTGGTGGTGCACGACTATAATCTCAGTGGCTCTGGAGGCCGAGACAAGAGGATCATAAGTTCAAAGCCAGCCTGGCAACGGTGAGTTGCTAAGCAACTCAGTGAGACCTTGTCTCTAAATAAAATACAAAAAATAGGGCTGGGGATGTGGCTCAGTTGTCAAGTGCCCCTTAGTTCAATGTCCAGTACAAAAAACAAACAAACAAAAAAACAACCAAACAAACAAAAAACATTAGGGAGAAAGATTTCCAATTGGAGGAAATTAGATCCCCCTCCCCAAATCCTACATAAATTCATGAAAACTTTAATTCAGGTATTTGAAATTCAGAGAAACACTATGCACAAAAATAATTATCAAATAATTAAAATATTTTATTATATTCTTTAACTTTAATGAAACTAGCTTTTACTTAGTTAAAATATATTATATGGTCATTGTAAAGTTATTTCCCACATAATCTGTAGCAGAATTTACAATTATCACTGTATTGCTCTGCAGTAGAAGACTTTCCCAAGGCTTAAAGAAAATATGCAAATTTTATTTTCTCTGTGCTTCTTATGTAAAATAAGGACTTTGTATCAGGTTCTGGAAGAATTATACGTTATGTCATTTTTCTGGTTATTCTAAAAGGAAGGTAATAAGACACTAACCAAAGAATTAAATATTTGCATTTGGTTCTTAAAACATAGGGAGAGTCAAAAAACTGACAAATGTATCTGAGAGTGACATTAAATGGTTGGGGGTCAAGGAAGGGAGGGAGAGGACATTTTCCTTAGTGTAGCCTTTGTAACTTTTGAATTTTGCACCGCTTGCATATATTACTGATTCAAACAACAGTTAATCCTTTTTAAGTTGTAGAAAAAGAACTTTAAATAGCACTATCCTTTTCACTGAAAGCTTCTTTTTTATGAAATCTCAAAGCCTGAATACATAGAAACCAAACTAAATTCCCCAAAAAGTTCCATTCAAGTCTGATAATATATACGAGTTAAACCAGTTAAATGAACCACATTAAAATAGATCTGCTTCATAACAACCCCTAAACTCTGCCTGCTGGGCATTCAAATGAAAAACTAAATCGTTTCTACAAAGATACCTAATCCTTTGTAAAAACTTCACTGAGAACACAGTTTTAAACACAGAAACTTTTAAAATACAATGAACAGGATGGTAAGCTTGATTTAGATATTAAAATATCACAATCTATTTTTCAAAATATTCTGGGCAACTTATAACTTTTGTGATGGTATATTTGAGTTTTGCTGACAAAATTGTATCATATGAACAATAGACAATTTACATAAACCTGGACTGCCTATTTAAGGCAAATAAAACATGAATTTTCTAAACAGGATTATGCAGGGGAGAGAGATTAAAAATATCAACCATCCTGAAGATTTCTTAGGTCACTTAATTTATGATACAAAATGAGAGTCCTCCAGTTGGTAAAATTTTATGAAAATATTTATTAGGAAAGTGTTTTAAGTCTTGATGTATTAGAAAACATCATTGCAATTTTCAATGCTCCAGCAACTGCTATGAAATAAACACTATGACAGAAATTGTATAAGGTGATTTGGAAAATGACATAAAAATAAAAGCTGAAAGTAGGGGTGTAGCTCAGTGGTAGAACACTTATCTACCATGTGTGAGTTCCTGGGTTCTATGTCTAGCACCACATGAAAGAAGAAAGGAAAGAAAGAAGGAGAGGAGGGACGGAGAAGGGAGGAAGGAAAAGAAAAAAACGAAAGCCCAAATTATCTCCCTTGTGAAATTCCTGACACAAGAATAGAAGCTCAGTAAATGTGAGACCTCTTGCCTTCTTCCACACCAACCTCAGTAACCAAGATCTCTTAACTCCTGGCCCCAAACGGAAGAAACTATATCAATATCTCCTATAGCAGACAGCAGAGAAGACCATACTGAAAGTCACCACTTGAGCAGGAGTAGGTGTACCCAATCTGTTATCTCTGTTGGCATTGAGGGAAAACTCAAGTCACAAGGCATAACCCTCAGACTACCCAAAAAAGGTCCTTGAGTTGTTTGGTCCAGAAAGCATCCAGTTGGTCTCCCAGAGAACATTGCAAAGACTGAAATCATTGCATGTAGTTCTTTCTTTTCTTAATATATTTTTTTTAGTTGTCAATGGACTTTATTTATTTATATGTGCTGCTGAACCAGTGCCTCACATATGCTAGGCAAGTGCTCTACCACTGAGCCACAACCCAAGCCCTAGTTTTTTCTTTTTTCTCAAAATTTTTTAGTTGCCAATGGACCTTTATTTTATTTATTTATGTGTGGTGTTGAGGATCAAACCCAGTGCTCACACATGCTAGGCAAGTGCTGTAACTACTGAGCCACAACCCCAGCCCCAGTGCATATAGTTTTAACTCAGACCCAGTTGGATGTAGGTGTGAGAATTCCCCCTGTAGATGCAGGCAGAACAGCTTCTTTATAAGACGTTTCCAGACCAAACAGGCAAAGACACACCTGTTTAAAGCTAATATTCTGTTAAACAATCACCAGGAACAATCACTTGGAGTTTCCAGCAGATGTTTGAAGACTCTTGGGGGCAAATGGCTCCAACTGAAAGACTTGGCAGTTGTTCAAATGCCACATTGGGTTATTGCATCAATTTCTAGCTGCTCAAATTGAAAGTGTTCAGGTCAGAGTTCTAGGAGCTGTATAGTAAGTGATGCTTTAACTAACATATGTCTTTCAAACTCTGAATTTCTTCTTCCTGAGGACATTAAAAATAATCTGAGAATAATAACAAATAACTAACTACATTTTACTGTGCTGCTCTTGCACTAGACACTGTAGAAGCACCTAATATGCTACCTCAACTTAATATTTCTTCAGATTTTGCAAGGAAGTATTATCCTCATGTTATAAACAAAAAAGCTGAGACTCAGAGAAAGAAGTAATTTGCCAAAAAGTGGCAAAGTAATAGCCAAAAAGTGGCAAAGATGGAATTTGAACTCAGAATTGATGTAAATATCCATGATCTCTGCACTCAGCACACGGCTTTCTAATTTTTACATAAAGTTTCCGTGTGCTTGGCAAAGCAAGAAGTTCCTACTAACACAAGATTATTTTTGAGGATTAACTGAGAAAGTTATGTAAGCACACAGCCTATTGCCTGACTTACAGCAGAAGTTCAATAAATATTTATTTTAAAAAAATCATTATCTTACATCCTGAAATGTGATGTGGAGTGGGACAGGCACACAGTGATTTTCTGGAGGGTTTTTACTGGGAGCTAGGGACAACTATTATTTATTTAAAAATAGCAACACTCACATGGTTTCATAGTAAGTCAGTTGGCCAAATTAAAAATAGATTCTAAACATAGCAAGAGCAGAAATTCAATCTAAGATATCAAGTCATGGAAAGCAATGACAGTGGTTGCAACAGAAAAAGAAGAACATGCATAAACTGATTATGCATTTGGATAAAATTATCCATGTCCATTTCTGTCTCACTTCCCTTCTCTACAGCAGAGAGCACATTCATACATGCATATATATGTATATATATATATACACATATATATATGCAAATAAATAAAACTAAGATAATATATTCCTATGTATCTTCAATAATATCATTTACAAATCAATTAATTTTGAGGCTTTGATACTAACACATACAAAACATACTATAATAGTATGCAGTTCTTTAAAATCTTTAGGGGGAGGAGAGAGGATTTTTAATGTTTCAAATATTTGGAGTGCAGATAAACAGATGGCTAGATTGGTAGATAACTAGAAATGGGGTGGGGGGCAGACACTACATTTATAACTATTACCTCTGTGTTCAGTAAATTTACAGTGGCAGACATAGAAAGTTGGGCTAACACTGTCATTTTGTCATTTGAAACCCTGAGAGCTGATATGCCAGATAAGAACTCTGATCACTGTACCAAGGACTCATTCCCCAGGACCTCAACTGGCTTTCAAGAAAGGGATGAAGCTCAGGTTTTCCTTCAGATTCCTCCTTCTAAAATGTTGTTTGGAGCATACAATTATTTTTCTCTCAGTTGCTAGGGTGCTTCAGCTCTGGGCATGATTATTTAGGGAGAAAGCCATGAAAATGCTCATCTGGGGCTGGGGATGTGGCTCAAGCGGTAGCGCGCTCGCCTGGCATGCGTGCGGCCCGGGTTCGATCCTCAGCACCACGTACAAAGAAAGGTGTTGTGTCTGCTGATAATTAAAAAATAAACATTAAAATTCTCTCTCTTAAAAAAAAAAAAAAAAAGAAAATGCTCATCTGTAAATCATTTAATCTTATTCCATGAACATCAAGATGATAATGACAGCTAGGCTATAGATTGTAACCCAAAGTAGTGGCACATTACTTCAAACAAAGCTTTCCATAAAAATACAAATATAAAAACATATATTTGAGGAATTAATTTTTTTAGGTACCATATAAAGGATTAAAAAAAACCAATGTTCTCTTAGGCAACACATATACTAAAATTAGAACACTACAGAGAAGATTAGCATGGCAATACAGAAGATTAGATGGCACACAAATTGATGAAGTGTCCCATGTTAAAAAAAAAAAAAAGAAAATTATAGAAGGACTTGCCATAAAATTCATTCATAAGTTTAGGAGCAATACTTTTCTCCTTAAAAAAGAATTTGAAAGAGTTTTATACTTGCAAAACACCATAAAGAGAAAAATGAAGATGAGAACACAAGAGAGAAATTAATAGTGTAGATTTTGGAGTCAAGCGATTTGCATTTGGTCAATACATACCGTGGGTCTTTGGCCAAGAAATATCACCTGTGTTGGCCATGATTTCCTAAAATAATGAGGGTATAACCGTAGTACATATTCTATACAGTGGTTGTGTGTTAAGGTCCTGTATATTAGTTATGGACTTTGTACATAGGATTCTAATTATTAACTATTATCACTTCTAAAACTAACAGAGGTAATAGATATTACTGAATACTTGAGATAAGTGGATTAATGTTAATTGAAGACTCAGTTTCCCAAGAGCTAAGAAAAAAACTTAAAAAAAAAAAACTTTGTGGCAATGAAACAATAAACATTCATCAATGAAGACTATCTAAACTTAAATAGGAGGTTAGAAAATGAATCTTTGAATACAGGACACTACCCAGAATAGCAGGTATCTTCAAGGGCAAGTTTGCACAACACAGAAACTATTAAGTGAGATGCCTTTGTTCCACTCTCTAGAAGAGCAATATTTTTCTACTTAAAAGGACTGAAGATGTAATGCATGTCAAAAACTGAGACATAGGCTCCAAATTCTTTGCTTTCTTAGATATATGGGTAGGGCATGGAAAAATCCAGAAAAAAAAATGGACTGATAAAAAACTTATAAATGATGGATATCTTAAGAATGTCTATAGCAAAATGGCTCATTGGCTTGGTCATTATTAAATGATTTAAAATTTTGGTTCAGTGTTTGTTTTAGGCTTTGGACAAAGACGTAAGGGTTATTAAGATGAATAAGACATTGCTCCTTTTGTCCTTATACATTCCAAGTATGGATTAAAGAAAGAGCCACATGCCTTAGATACTTGAGGTGAAGGAAAGAAACTTCCTATAAAAATAGAAGCAATTTTTTACTGTCCTCACAGATGGATGGTTGACTGGGGTTGTGGAGAATGGAGTTGCCTGCAGGTAGAATCATGCAGCATTTTATTTAAGAATGAGCCACAAATGAACCCAAACATTAGGGTAAGTTCATGGTTAATATCTCGAGTTAATATACCATATAATATGAGAAAATTATTACAACCTAAGAAATGTTAAGGCAGGTTTAATCAATCCCTCTCTCAATTCACTAATTGGCCTTGTAGTCTTTGACAAATATATGGAAATGTTGAAGGTGTTTAGAATCAGATTTAATTGCTCTTATTCTGTATTCCCTAACTTCTGGGCATTTCTCTGATAAAATACTTTGTAAATTCTAATGTACTTGTTCATTATTTGAATCAAATTATGTGTAGAATATAGGTTAAAAATAAGTCTGGGGCACAGCCCTATTTGACACAATCTTTCCCCTAGTGCTGGGGATCAAGTCCAGGGCCTCTCACATTCTAGACAAGCACTCTGTTACTGAACCACATCTCTTGTTCTAACATTATTTCTTGAATAGATTAATACATTAATCAATCCATACCAGCCACGTGGCACATGCCTATAATTCCAGCAGTTCAGGAGACTAAAGCAGGAGTATTGTGAGTTCAAAGTCAGCCTCAGTTATTTGGTGAGGCCCTAAACAACTCAGTGAGACCCTGTTTCTAAATATAATACAAAAAAGGGCTGGAGATGTGGCTCAGTGATTAAGTGTTGCTGGGTTTAATTCCCATTACCAAAATAAAATTTTAAAAAAATTTTTAAATTAATCTAGTATTTCCTGAACTTTTTTTGGTTGCCTTTATTCATTTATATCTAGGTAACTGGTACTATTAGATACTTAACATTTCCTTTAATTTGTCGTCAGTTATCCAATTTTTAAAATTTAGCCTCATTTTCAGCAATAACATTTGTGCAATCAATATAAGGTATAAGATTTTAAATACACTTTAAAATGTACTTCAAAATAAACACAGAACTGTGTAAATAAGTAAAAGGTACAAACCATCTAAAATAGTCTTGCACCCAGTTTGGGAAACAATAGGTTGGTCAGTTAATAAAATCTTAAACTGAAAAGCCCTTTTTTATATTTTCTAATCAACCCAGACTTTCAGAGTTTCAGCAAGTCACCAACCCAGACGACAACTGGGAGTAGAACATTAATCTATAGTTTAGTGTTACAATTTTAGTGCTTTCTTTACCGTATTTGGTTGCATATTATGCCCCAACTAGCTAAACTGCTATTTAAATAGAGGAATTTCTTCCAAATAAAATAATTTTAGTCTGGATATAAAAATGATGCCAAAGTAATTCTGTCAGTAACTAATAGGTCCAACTGCTTAAGATCACTAGAATATTTATTTACTTACTTGCCAAAACAATGGCAGTCTCCAATTATTTAAATATTATTTTTTAAAAAAATGGGATTACCCTAATGCAAGATGTTGATGATAGGGGAGATTATAAGAAGGCTAAAAGAGTATATGGGAACTTTACTTTAGCTAATTTTTCTTTTCCTTTTTGTTTTGGTACTGGAGATTTAACCCAGAGGTGCTTTATCACTGAGTTTTTAAATTTTTTTTTTATTTTGAGACAGAGTCTCAAAAAAAAAAAACACTTCCAGTTTTTTAAATTATTTTTTATTTTGAGACAGGGTCTCAAAAAAAAAACACCTCCACTTTTTTTATTAATTTATTTTGAGACAGAGTCTCATAAAATTACCTAGGACCTCACTAATTTGCTGAGGCTGGCTTTGAACTTGCCATCCTCCTGCCTCAGCCTCCAGAGTAGCTGGGATTATAGGCATGCACCACCATGCCTGGCTAACTTTTGCTTATTTTTTTCTATGAAGCTAAAATGACTCTAAATAAGGTTTTATAATAAAACAAAGAATGATATTAAAGCATAATCCTATTTAAAATGGGATTATATCTAGTTGATGTAATCAACTTGATTTTCCATCCACGTTATTTTAGCAGTAGTGTTTTGTAATGGACCATTAAGCATTAAGTCCTAGGAAAGCTCAAGGTTGGACAGTTTGGCCATTTATGGTTTTCTACAGAGACACATGTACTAGAAACTTAGATGGCATATAGGCATCTGGCCCTGGATAGGAAATAAAATTTGACTTTAACATTATGAAAATAGTGATTGTTATGGTCTGAATATCCCTCCAAAACTCGTGTTGAAATTTAATTGCCATCATTATAGTGTTAAGGGGTAGGGCTTGGGCTGGGCATTGAGCTCAGTGGTAGAGTTTGCCTAGAATGCAAAAAGCCCTGGATTGATTCCTCAGCACCTTAAAAAATAAAAACAAACAAATAAATAAAAAAGATGGGATCTTTAAGAAGTGATAAAGTAGTGGGGATTCTCTCCTTGGGAATGGATTAAGCTGTTATGGGATGAGTGGGTTTATTATCTCAGGAGTAAATTTCTGTTAAAAGCATGATGTTTGGCCCAGTTTTCTCTCCTTCGCCTTGCATATATTTGATTTCCCTTCTGCCATGTTGTGATGAAGCATAGAGGCCCTTACAAGATACCAGTTCTGGACTTCTCAATTTCCAGAACAATGAGCTGAATATATCTCAATAAATATTTTTTGGGGAAGGGGGGTAATGGGGATTGTACCCAGGGGTACTTAATCACAGAGCCACATCCTTACCCCTTTTTTGTGTTTTTATTTAGGGCCTTGCTAAATTGCTGAGGCTGGCTTTCTTTCTTTTTTTAATTGATTTTTTTTTCAAATAAATGACAGCAGAATGCATTACAATTCTTATTACATGTATACAGCACAATTTTTCATATCTCTGGTTGTATATAAAGTATGTTGACACCAATTCGTGTCTTCATACATGTACTTTGGATGATGATGTCTATCACATTCCACCATCCTTGCTAATCTTCTGTCTCCTCACTTTCCCTCCCACCCCTCTGCCCTATCTAGAATTCATCTATTCCTCCCATGCTCCCCCTCCCTACCTCTCTATGAGTCAGCCTCCTCATATCAGAGAAAACATTTGGCATTTTTTGGGGGGGGATTGGCTAACTTCACTTAGCATTATCTTCTTCAATGGCTGAGGGTGGCTTTCAACTTGAGATCCTCTTGCCTCATCCTCCTGAGCCACTGGGATTACAGGCATGTGCCACTGTGCCCAGCTATCTCTGTTCTTTAGTGAGTATCCAGTCTCAGGCATTCCGTTTTAGCAATACAAAGTGAATTAAGACAGTGATCCCGTTTAACCTGTTTGATTCTCAAGATACTCAAAGATCATAATTATCATCCTAAGATTTCAAAGCTTAAATATTATCAAGTAGTAAAAATATACCCAGTTTTTGGTGAGGTTGATAATCTTTAATTATATATTTCAAAATAGCCAGTAGAGAGAATTTTGAATACTGCCAGCCCAAAGAACTGTTAAATATTTGAGGTTATGGATATATCCATTACTCTGATTTTATCATTACACATTGTATACATATACTGAAACATCACATACTTAAAATTATAATATGTGGATTAAAATTTTTTAAAATATAAAAAAGAAGAAATAGTAAAGTTTTTTTTTATATTAAAAAAAAGCCTGATTAAACTGTATAGTTTAAAATGCTACTGTTAGGGGCTGGGATTGTGGCTCAGTGGTGGAGCGCTCGCCTAGCATGGGTGGGACCCAGGTTCGATCCTCAGCACCACATAAAAATAAAGGCATTGTGTTGTGTCCATATACACCAAAAAAAAAAAAAATTAAATTAAATAAAATGCTACTATTAGGCCTGGGAATGTAGCTCAGTAGTAGATTGCTTGCCTACATACCAGAACCCCAGAACCATAAAATAAATGAATAAATAAATAAATAAAAATTTAAAAGATACAAGTAACCGTATGTCAATTATATCTTTGCTTTTTAAAGAAGCAAAAATTATTAAATGTGATTTTAAAAAATC